CCTTCGGCCATATCGCGTCGGTTTTGTTTTTTTCCTCCGCCGTCCGTACACCACGAGGTTTTCGACTGGCGCGATAATCCGCGCGCCGCAGTCGCACGGCGTTCCGTCGGCAATACGGTCGTTCTTGCACGTGCGCGCGCGCGCGCTCGAGACAATCCCCCTCGCGTTTTACAAACGTGACCGGTAACGAAACGATCGGAAAACGGAAATCGAAATAATATTCCCCGATACGTTGCGTGCTCGTTGCGTTATACTTGCATCGCGTCGTGAAATCATATCGTACGTACCCCACCCCACCCCGCACACGTACATGCAATCGTTTTCAACGCGATCCATATCGTAATGATCGAAATATTTTGAACGATAAACGCGACGCAACACCGTTGTTTCAGCAACTGAAAAACACGATACCGGTGCAATTATAAGATCGGACGAGAGTGAGCGATCCCGGGACGATGACCGAAAAGCCCAGGGTCGTGTCCGCGTGCATGAAGCGGATCATCCGGGCCAGCGGACGAGCGCAACAAAAACCTTTGATTTCAGGTACGCAATCGAATCGTTATCATTAACATTACGAGAACGAGGACCTATTGACCGTTTCGCTATTTGTTTATTTTTTTTATTTATATTCGTCATAGTTACTAAAATACGAGTATGTTTAGTATTGAATACGATACGAATCGGAAACGTTTTCAACTTTACACCGTTATCAAATATTGTACGCGATGTTTTCTTTTTGGTACTGTGTTCGGTAAAATTTTGGACAGTGTGTGCTCCATCCCAACTAAAAACAAAAACCTGTACACACATATGAACGTGGGCGCGAGATCGGTTGCTACGGGACCGCGCGCGTGCTGCGATGGAAAGGATTTGATATCGCTTTTCGTACATACGTCAATCGATTCCGGTACAGCGGTAAATTGAGCGAGATACGTGCACGAATCGTTTGTCACCTGCCTGTAGTGTCTCAGATGCTCCAAAATTATGTTTCATGGACTATCTTGCACGAATTGTCTGTATCGGAAATTGCAATAATATCGTTAGAGTATATGACACTCGGCAGCTCGAACGTCCATGGTTCAAAAACTTCTATAAATCGAACCGAACGCGTGTATTTCGGTCCCCTCAATCAATCATCATTAATATTATCATTAACTTCCGCGGGCAATACTAAAAATACGAATATTTTCAGGCAGAACCTCTTTAATCGAAATTTATTATGTATTATGTATTGTATATATTATACAATCGCGTATTTTTAAATTATGTGGGGTAGGAGTTACAATGTTTCTAAAAATTAAGCAATTTTATAATAGCATAAAAAATACGTATAAGATATGAATTAATAATTATATTATTCTATTATTATTATAAATATAAATGATGAGTTATTAACAAACACTTGATATAAATTAATTTTCTCTTTTTATGTACATTCGTAGCGACTAATTTGTTAACTTGAACCTCTTTTTTCTTCTGGCTGATTCGAGGACTTGGGAACTCCCCTTTAAAATACGCCACTGTGTACACATAAGTTATCGTAGTTTTCTGTTAATGAATATTATGGTTGATATTTATTTGATGATTTTTTGTATAATTAATTATATGCATGTAATATGTACTAGCAATAAAAAAGTAAATTTAATGTAGAATACGTATGTAACAATAATTTTCAACTCTAATTCGAATTGGTTTTTTTCCATGGTAATTCAAACTCTAGCAATCTAGCAAATCTCTATGAACCGAATTTTTATTTCGACTTCCAGAATTTCGTGTTTCGAGAGTCCAGCGATTCTCAAATTTTTTTAGCCAAGAAACCTTTTTTTAAGCAGTATTTTTTTTCATGGAGCCTCGAGAAATATTTAATATTTAGTTTTATTTGCCTGTGTTCTACGAACTATATTACACATGGTATGTATTTATATAGAAGGAAACTTAAAACGAGACGATGTAAATTTAGTACAATATATCTGGCCGAGAAATAACTGGAATGGTAATGCGTTTTATCTATAATTAAAAAATTATATTTTTCCTATAGGAATTTTAATATTTTTTGTATACGTATCGCTGAATTGTTTTTGAGTTGACGAAGTCTTGTAAATATATATACGCTGGTCGTTTTAAATAACAATCAATAATTTTTACGTTATTACATTTTCTGTGGTAAAACGAACTGATTGATGAACAATTGTGGAGCCCTAAGGGCTTCGCGGTATACGGTTTGGGAATCGCTGTTCTAGTCTGATGTATTTCTATAAATAATTAAGTTCTACTCTAATAATTTGAAAAACGTTGTCCAATACTACTCGGAAAAAAGTTTGTTTTTAGCTACACTCCCTCAAAATAAATAATTAAGATTGAAAATCATAACATCGTATATTGTTATAATTCAATTTTAAAATTGAATTTTCCAGGAGAATACCAACTGTTTAAAATATACACATTCATGAGCAGGTATCCGTAATATCTCTAGTTCCCAATAAAATCCCTATTCCTATTATAGTTTTTCTGTGAACTACGAAAATAATGGAAACGGTTCTCTAATAATACACTAATCTCATTATAATCAACATAGCCGTCGTATTCATACATTATATTTTGTTGATTGTTCGTTGTTTACAGTTATACATTTTAATTATGTAATTTTATTACATTATTTCATAAATAATGAATTAATAAATTTACCATTTTTTTTTTTTTAATTGTCAACAGGATAAACAAATTAAAATATATTTTTTCTTACAATTTTGCTATTTTACTAAACTGATCAAAATGTTCCCTTTTCATATTTTTCCCATGGAAATATGGATCATAACGACATTCTAGGTCCCTGGCCCATTTAAAGGCATTCTGCTCTGTTCAGAAAATTAAAATTTTTTACAAGAGGAATCAAATTGTCCCATCAAAAAATATGGATCAATTAATTCCCGCGTCAAAATGATCGATTTTCTTAAAATCCCAATTAATTTACACCAAATCAATCATGCTTTTAATAACCTACAAGTACCTAAATTGTTTAATTGTATTTATTAGTTTTTTATTAACTGTATTTATTTTTGAATAATTTCTCTTGGGATTTAAATTCAAATAATAACAATTTTATTTAATTGAATTGTAATGAGATTCGTATTTTTTGGCATATTACATATATAAGTATTTCACGAAATTTTTCGCGTGTCTAAAGGATGAAATTAATTTGTACTTAAAACGAGTACATACGACGAAATTGAATTTCAAGAGTAATTGGAGCATAGCAAGGCGTAATACATATGTGTAAACTTAATGAATATTTTTAAGATTCTGGGAGAGAAATAAAAATGAACTAAATACATGGTTAAGCGTGTTACTAAAGTAAACACACATTTTTAACAACCGAAGAAATGTTATTTTCGTCTGAAAAATAAAAGACCATTAGCACGGTATATTGTAGTTCGTTTACGCAAGTGATAAGTATTTACATTTCGGCATTCAATTACAATGTATTTGACGTATAACATTCGTGCCACGAGAACGTGTGGTTTACTTTCGTGAGACCTAAAGTGTTAGAAAACGAAGATCAAATGGTTAACAATAATTTTATATCATTCATTCCCGTGGTACGTGTGGCACGCGTTATAATACTTTGTTTACACGTTATGTTCTAACCCGTGTGCTCGGTCGTGGTATGTCTTATTATGTGCAGTCGTACCGAAAGAGGCGGGGGGAAGGGGTCTATGCGATCTTTGGAGACTAAACTAACCTATCCTTATCGAGTGTCATGAAAATTTGACCATTTACGAATCGAATCAAATCAAGATCTCTTGCTGGCACTCGAGGATCGGTTGACAAATTAGTATTATTAAAATTAAGTTGCATTAAATAAGATTATTTTTACTCTAGTTGTGGGACGCTCAATTGCCTGCATTGGTTATGGTTTGCCTATCTGAAAATGATCACTGCTGTGTGTATACGCAGGGGTGGAACTAGGAATTTTTACGCCTGGGGAAAATGTTAAAATTACGCCCTGTCATAGACCAATAATCAAATATTCTTCTCGAGAATTTTTTTCTAATAATTACTACAATATCATACATATTGAGTTTTAACCTAATAACAGTATTTAACAAAGTTAAAAATATCAAATTAGTTGTTAATAATTACAAAAATTACACCCGAGGATGAATCCCCGTCTTCCACCTCCTAGTTTCGCCCCTGCGTATACGTACCCGTACCCATCACTTGGTTGTTACATTAAATTACATTAAATGTAATTGTAAATTTTAATTTAAATTAATTTTTCTATTTCAAATTTTGAAATGTTGGTTGTATTATTGCGTATCGGGTTCGCGTGCCATTTACACATTCTTTAACTCCGTACGGTATGATATTCCAAATACATAATATATTCTATACAAAATGTATTTAATATCTTGTGTGTAATACGAACTCGTATGTATTGTATTACGAAACCAACAGATTAATTAAAAACAGTCGATCAATATAACGAATACCAACTACATAAGTACTATTAAATTACCGCTAGAATGTGTAAAAAATATTTTTATTCCATAACGATTGATTACCTATTTACATTGGTTGCCTACACATTAAATGAATCTATTATTTATACCAATATAAACTCGAAATTATATATTGTGGTAATGCATCAGTCGTTTTGTCTGGTATCTATTATGCTGTAATGAATTACAGTATTCAAGAGCTTTTGTTTTTACGAGAGTTGAACGTTATAAGAAACATTTATATTTTTATGCATACATTTTTACTGGAAAATGTCCAAAGTCCGTATTTTTAATTTAAAAAGTATCCCGTAGAACTTTGATAATGGTTGATAATCGTTTTATATTATTAGCTTAATTTGAATATTTATGGAAATTTTAATTGATAATACATAAACGTTGTTTTTATCGTTTATCGGATGAATTAAAAAAATTGAGGAAATTATGATTTATTTTTTTGGTAAATCTTCTGACGTAAAACGGTTGTCCTCGAACACCCTTAGGAAGTATATTTCTATGGTTGAAAATCAAATATTTTTTCAATGGTCGATACAAAAGATTGATTTTTGTCAAGAAATAATTGTCTATTAATTTTTTCTGAGGGTTTTTACACATAGCGTCATCTACATGACATATTATTGTATATTTTTCATGCATCACGTTTTTACAATTAAAAGTGCAATATTATGCCGAGCTTACAAAATTATATTTTATTTTATAAAATAATGGGATTACTATTTATGGAATATTTTTTATTTATTTATTTATTTTTTCACTCTGAAACGTCCTTTGCTTCCAAGTGGTATACACATAATATCATTGCATACGCACATAATGACGAATTTTGCGTACAACACCAGATACCATTGACCTTGTCCTTCGTTATCAAGTTCTACAATGCAACTTCTATCGTTCTATTGTACGTCCTGTGTGTATCGCGAACACACAGTCCTACAAATCGACGGTTGATGTCGTTCAGGTGGAAGTAATTTCCTAATTATTTTGTAGTCGGTTCGTAGTTTAAGTTTTAGTTCAGTTTGTGCAATG